ACCCTTTAATCTTAGTGGCCGTTTACCTCTCCTTCATCCTTTATGGTATGTTACTGTTACTCTGTGCCATTGAGTTGGAACTGACTCAGAGCTGACCCTTCAGTGGGTTTTCAGAGGCTTTTAGTGGCATGTGAGGAATTTACCCTTCTTGCTCCTACCTCGTACCTTAGGTTGGCAGCACAGCTTCTTACCTACCGCCGAGCCACCGGAGCTCCCTCTGTAAGCTGTAGTTCTCACACAGGTTACACCCACCTACATTATTAACCCAATACTATAGTATTATATTTTTGTTTTAAATGATCATATTAAAGAAATTGAGAAGAAAAACTAGTCGTTGATGCTTATTCACATATTTACTGTGTCTGATGCTCTATCTTCTGAAGATCAAGGTTTCTGTTTGGTTATTCTTTTCAGCCTGAAAAACTTCTTCTAGGATATCTAGAAATGATACATTATCTTAATTTTCTTTTCTATGAAAATGTATTTTGCCTTCATTATTTTAAGAATATTTTCCTTGGACCTTGTTGTTGTTAGGTGCCATCGAGTCAAGTATGACTCGTAGCAACCCTATGAACAAAAGCTCTGAACCTCGTTCTATCCTGCACCATCCTCACACTTCCTGACACACAAGTGGCCATTGCAGCAGTCACCGTGTCAGTCCACCTGATTGAGGGTCTTCCCCTCCTTTGCTGACCCTCCACCCTTCCCAGAATCATGATTCTCCAAGGAATAGCACCTTGTATGTAGAATGCTGAATTTAACAGCTGTAAAGACTATATTCTGCTATGTTATCTTAACACTTACATATACCTGGTCAACTAACTTTCAACAAGGTACAAAGACATTTCTGTGAAGACATAATTTTCCCAACAAATGCATTAGGACTAACTGAGTATCCAAATGTAAACAAGTCTACAGCCTTCAACACAGATTACCTCTCAGCATCAAGAAAAGAACAGTCCTTACCACTGGACCAATAGGCAGCGTTATGGTAGATGGAGAAAAGATTGACGCTATCAGTGATTAAAGTTTTCTTGAATTCGCAATCAATACCCATGGGACGAGAAGTCAAATAATCAAAAGCTATACATCTCACTCCAGTAGCAGTGGCAAAGTTTAACAAGACAGCAAGTAATAAATGTTGGAGAGGATGTGGTGAGATAGGTACTCTTACACATTGTTGGTGGGATTGTAAAATGGTACAGCCATTTTGGAAAGCAGTTTGGCACTTCATCAAAAAGTTGAACATATGACCCAGCTTTTCCATTTCTTGGAATATATCCTGGGAAAATGAGAACTGAAGCTCAAATGGAGACTTGTACACCAATGTTCAGTGTTACTCACCATCGCAAGAACATGAAAACAGCCCAGATGTCCAGCTACCATATGCAGCATGGAGGAGCAATGATTTTTCTAAATTACTACCTAACTTGGGAGGGACTGGAGAGCATTATGCTAAGTGAACTATCTCAGTCCCATAAGGACAAATACTGTATAAAACCATTATTGTAGAATGAGTATAAAGATCCAAGGGGAAAGGAGTAGAAACAGAAGCGTGAGCATAGGCAGGGGTGGGGGTGTTAATCATAGGCTCACACAATTTGATGGGGGGGGGAGGTGAAGGAAATGGGTAAGATCCAGTGTGAAAATCAATGTATTCAAACTTGGTAAATAAATCAGTATGAGATTTAGAAAAAAAAAACACCTCAAAAACATACTGCACTGGGGAAAAATCTGCTGTGAAACATGCTGTGTAACATACTGAAAGCAGCAATAACAGTTTAGAGACTAAGGTGTACCCTGTCCAAGCCATGGTATTTTTAGTTGCTTCCTGTGTTCTGAAAGTTGGACAGTGCATAAGGAAACCAAAGACGAATCAAAGCTTTTGAATTGTGGTGTTGAAGGAGAATACTACATACCCCATGGACTGTCAAGAGAACAGATAAGTCTATCTTGGAAGAAGTGCATCCACGGTGCTCCTTAGAGGCGAGGATGGTGAAACTTACCACACAGTGGCTGAAACTTTCACAAGAGGCTCCAGTGTCTGGAAAAAGACAACATCCATAACAGTATGGATTTGCAGTGACTGTAAAATGTCCTTGAACATGTAAAAGATTATGAGGATGACTCTGGCTAAGGTACGAGTCCAGTCTGTTCTTCATAGGATGGTTAGAGTTGTACTCCACTGATAGTGCCCAACAAGAAGATAAAATTTTTTAATCTGTTTGTTGATGGGCCCATGGGCTGCTTCCATTTCTTCACTGTTGTGAAAAATGCAGCAGTAAACAGGGTGTGCATACATCTGTTTGCTTCTTGGTTCTGATTTCTTTAGGATATATTCTCAGTAGTGGAAAACACTACGCAGCATGGATGGGTCTGGAAGATACTTTGGTGAGTGAAATATCTCAGTCATAGAAGGACAAATACTGCATAACTCCTCTGTTATAAAACAGAATTGACTTGGGAGATGGGGAAGGAGAACAGGAAAAAAGTGGATGAACAACTGCACTGAAACAGACAAGAGGGAAAACTGAAAGGAATGTATGATCGTACATTGATAAGTATGACAGTTTGGACAGAGATACTTTACAAAGTGGAGTAAGATAGGGGGCAGGGAGGGAGATGAAAGAAAATGTGCAATAATGAATCACTGAAAACCCAAACTTTCTGTAAACTTTTGTTAAAATTTTTTAAAGAATCCACAAAAATAAAGAGGTTCTTTGCAACACATTTTTCTTCTATGCCTCATTGTTTGTTTTCTTGATGATCTTTTCATGCCCTAGGATTGTAGATCCAAATACAGTTAGACCCTTGACAACTTTAACATTTTCTGTGTTTATCATGATGTTGCTTTGCTTTTTGGTCCAGTTGTAAGGATTTTTTTTTAAATGATGATTTACAATCCATAAGTAAAAGACAGGCTGTAGATTAGAGGGAAGTAGTTGTAAAACAGGCATCTGATAATGCAATTGTTGTTAGATGCTGTCTGATAAAGTGCTTGTCAAAAATGTATAAAGAACACTGAAAATTCAGTTATAAGTAAACAAACTATGCAGTTTAACAAATGAGCAAAAGATAAGATCAAATAATTAAGATGTTTTGGGGTGGCAATTAAGCATGTAAAAAATAGAAACATCATTAGTCATTAGGGAAACATGGGTTAAAATGACAGTGAAATACGACTGTAAACTTGTTGTTATTAGGTGCCATGGAATCCGCTCTGACTCATAGAGACCCTATGAACAACAGAACTGAACCTTGCCTTACCTTGTCCCATCCTCATTCTCTCTGATATACTCGATTAGAATGGCTAAAATGAAAATGACTGACCATCTCAAATGTAGAGGAGGACATACATCAACCGGAACTCTGGGACACTTCTGGTCAGAATGTAAAAAGCTGCAGCCCCTTTGGAAAACAGTTGCTTAAAAACTGAAGCACAGAGCTGCATATGATCTTGATGTTTAAGAAAAAGAAAAGGGTAGCCCTCTTTCTCTTCAGCGAGGTGGCCGAGCAGCAGTCGCAGAGATGCAGGTCTTTGTGAAGACCCTGACTGGCAGGACCATCACTCTTGAGGTCGAGCCCGGTGGTGACACCATCGAGAATGTCAAAGCCAAAATCCAAGACAGGAAGGGCATCCCTCCTGACCAGCACGTCTGATACTTGCGGGCAAACAGCTGGAGGATGGCCGTACACTCTCAGACTACAACATCCAGAAGGAGTCCACCCTACATCTGGTGCTGCGTCTGCGTGGCGGCATTATCGAGCCTTCCTTGCACAGCTCACCCAGAAGTCTAACTGTGACAAGATGATCTGCCAAGTGTTATGCTCTCCTGCGTCCCCGTGCTGTCAGTTGCCGCAAGAAGTGTGAGCACACCAACAACCTGTGCCCCAAGAGGAAGGTCAAATAAGAGCCCCCTCTTCACTGGCTCCTTTGCTCAATAAAGTCTCATTGAATGGAAAAAAGAGAGAGAAAGAGAAATAAAAGCATAAATGTATATAAAGACTTGTACAGGACTGTCCTTTCTAGGTGATAATGAAAAACTGGAAAATAATCCTCATGTCCGCTAGCAGGTAAAGAAATAAACCATGGTGTGGAATGCTACTAGATAGGTAGCAGCTTTTTTGGCCAAGGAATAACCGGAATCACCATCTTTTCACATCCTTATGACCGGTATCTTGCCGCTGCTCGCTGCTTACCCCTTACGTCAGTGCCACATAGTTAGGCTTTTTATTGTGTCTTCCATGCCCCTGATACATACCTCTTATCAGTCAGAACACTTTCTTTCTACTGTGGTAAAAAACAACCTCCAATCTCAGTGGCCTAGAGCAATGTTTTCTTCTTTGTTGTACACTTTATGTCCATCACTTCTCTCCTCCTGAAATTCAGGTTGACCGAGTGTCATTATCCAAAGCATTACTGACTTTTGGGAAATGTTGACTAATTCAGAGTCGCAGTTGCTTTGTTTTCATCAGAGCTAGTTGGCTTCCATCCCTTTTTTGTGCTTAGGAAAATTTGAAATAATGACACTAATAGCTATCATTTTCTTTGATCTGTGGCATAAAAATTGTACAACATATGTTTGAACTTTTATTTACTGTATGAGTGTTTTAAAAGATGGAAAGTCTATTAGTCCTGTATCTTCGCTAAGGAACCTGAAGTTTGTTGTTGTTATCTACTGTTGAGTCCGAACCAGCTCAACAGCTGACCCTCTCGCAGGTTTTCAGAGGCAGTAAATCGCATAGGAAGAGACTGGCATCTTTCTCCAGCAGAGTAGCTGGTAGATTTGAACTGCTTGTCTTTGGGTTGGCAGCACAACTCCTTACCATTAAGTCTCCAGAGCTCCCTAAGGTCTTGAGGAGGGTAAACTAACTGATAATAGCTATATAACAGTGAAACTGAACTAAAAGTCAAGGTTCTCATTTTAATTCCTTGTGCAAGTTTGAGAAAAATTAATGTGCCATCTATTTACCCTTTCTTTGTCTTGACAGTCTCTTCAACAGGCCACATTTAGGAGGTCCCTTGTACTCTCTGTTGCCACTGGCTGGGACACGATGGATCACCCAGGGGCGGTCGATGCTGAGGATGAGTTGGGGCCGTTAGCCCATCTCGCTCCAAGTCCTCAGAGCGAAGCCGTTGCTCATGAATTCCAGGAACTCTCCTTGCAGTCCAGTCAACACTTGCCTCCTCTCAACGAAAGGAAGAATGGTGAGTTCTCCCGTGGGTCTAGTGGGAACTTTGAGCTGAAGACATACATGTTGTGAGCCCAGCTTAATCGTCTAGTTTGTGTGAGTTTTGTGTTTATGTTAGTTCCATTTGGCAGTCTGTCTCCAAGGATGACCTCATCACAGTACTGGCTGATCTAATTCATAGGCAGAATTTCACTAACAAATTCTTTTCATTTTATTTTTTTCACCAGTAATAATCTTTGGTCGCAACATAATCCTTTTTTTTTTAAACATAATCTTTTTTAATGGTTTAAATTCTCAATAGTACATTATTGATAAAAGGTTAGTAGTTTTCATGCATACCATATGTAAGATAACCCTCTGGCAAGAAATCCGTTCTGACTCAGGGTGAGCGGACAGAGTAGAACTGTCCCAGAGGGCTTCAGAGGCTATCAGTCTTTATGAGAGCAGATCTCTTCATCTTTCTCATTCTGAGTGGCCACTGGGCTCAAGCCACTGACCTTGAGGTTATCAGTGAAGCATTTTGACCACTGTACCACTGATACTCCTTGTAGAATAAAAATACATTTCTCTTGATAGAGACCATCTCAATCAAAAAGCATTTATCTACTACTAGTAAAAGTTTTTCTGTAGATTTGGATGCAAAACCAAAAAGGATTTGAAAATGCAATTGTGTAAGCCCTGTCTCCCCTTTATAGTGAAGTGCCAAGTACCTTTACTCAAACTGACAAAGGCCTATAGTGGCCACTTTTTCTATGCTTTTTTCTTTCTTTTTTTCCCCCAGAAAATGTACTCATTTTATTGATGCATTGCAATTGCTCTACATTTTACCATATTATGTAGAAAATACTGAAAATACAAGCTGCTTTGTAAAACCAAAGACAAACATTGAATCCAAAGCTTTTTTTTTACTGTTTTCCTTGCCATAGGTGATAAATGACAAAATAATTCCATTATAATACCTTCAAATAAGAGGTATGTTAAAAATTGCCCTAAAGCGATTTTTTAAAGTTTTAAAATTCTGCGCACCTAAGCATACAGCTTTTTAACCACTCACAATTGTTTCATAATGTTTATGAATGTAAATTGTATTTCAATAAGATATTTTCAAAATAATAAACCAAAATGATCCTTAAAAAAAGAAACAGGCAAAGCTACAAAGAACACCAGGTTCTTTTTTGGAAGTAGCAACACATCCTAGCTAATATTTTTTTTTTTTATCATATAATTTGTTTTTGGGGTTTTTAAAAAATCTAGTCCAAAGAGAAATCTTGCCACTTTCAGATTTCTCTTCTTCTCTCCATCTCAACCCCATCCCATAACCTGCAGTAAAATGAAAATACAGAACCAGTCTTCCTACTCCCTCCACTCAAATAGGCTGTTGTTGTTTTATGCCCTCAAATTGATCTCATCACACAGCGACACTTTAGGACATAGATGAGCTCCCCTGCAGGGTTCCTCAGGCTGTGGTCTCTGTGGAAATAGATGCCCAAGTCTTTTCTCTCTGTGAGGTGTTTGGTGGATTTAAACCTCTGACCTTTCAGCGGGCAGCCAAGCACCTAACTGCCGTACCACCTGGGCTCCTTCTACTTACCTTGCTTTCTTTCAGTGTATCACTTTCTGGGTGAGGAATCATCCAACACTAAAAAGAATGTGATAAAGCAGCACCCTGGTGCCTCAGCACTCCTGGGGACACTGCAAGGGGACACATTAGGGGGCCTGACCTGAGACCATGTCCCCGTCAAATGTTGAGAACATCAGCCAGCCCTTGCTGCTAGGAACATCTTTCCCTCCCACATGACACACGAAGACATTTGTATTACGCAAAAGGGCAGTGACTAAATAAAGATGAGACAGTCTTCACATAACAAAATTGTCGTTCGCTATGCACCTCCCATCAGAGAACCATCCAAAAGAGAAGAGTAGAAAGGAACATGCTGCATACATGGGCAAAAGCTGGTAGACGTTCAGGCTCAGTGGGATCAAGGCTTCAGAGCAGGAATGCCGAGTGATAGCCCTTCTGGGCTCACACCATTGTCCCTTCCAGCAGTATTAATTTTGGAAATAAATTTTGACGTCCCCACCTTTAGCACAAGCTTAGGGTTCACACTCTGCTGGCAGGAAAGTAGCTCCCGTGCGGATTCCAAGAACAGAGGCTGTTAGCATGGAGTCTCCTGCTTTGTCCCCTCTGCCACTGTGTTGTGTTGTAACCTTATCTGAATGGTCACTAAGAAATTAAAGCCTTCTTACTTGAGTATTTATTAATACTAATATCCCTATGGTTCTAGAATGGTATGACTCTTCTCAATTTGGCTAATTCATCTTTGTGTATATTATATTGATATTTTCTGTTTTATACACAGCATTATTTAAAAAAAAGAAAATAGACTGATAATAACACTGTTATTTTTAACATGTAAAACATACAGAGTAACAAATAGAAGATAATGCTAAAATACACATATAGCACTAAATATAAATAGTGGGAAGTCAAACTTAAGACTTTCAGGTGGAACTGCTGCTCTTTCCAAAGTTCTGATGAGTCTTACTCTCACAAATATCTTTTTTCATTTTCATTTTAAAGCCAGAAGTACGGAAACTGTTTCCCGACAATGTTTTTATGTTCCTTGCTGCGTACTTTTCTGGTTCCTGAGATTTTCCCCACCATTCTCATTATTAGCTTTAGCCATGACTCCCATGGTTATGATCTCTGACTCAGGTACAACATTTAATACTTCATTATAAGCCAACCCCCAAAAGCCCATTATATTAAAATTTTACAGTGGTTCCAAGTAAAAAAGTACCGCATGTATCAAAATGATATTATTATTACTATTATTGTGTGTTTAAAATGTTTGAATTTATCTGGAAGTATTTCTCTAATGTGTTTTTTTATACATAGAAAGGCACAGTATATGCTAAGACAAACATTTAACAAACTGATTAATCTAAATTCTTATGTACATACAAATTCCATTCAAAGACAGATTTAGGAAAATGGAATGTGTCAGTAATCCAAGGACAGCCTGTAAAAGATATTTACTACAAGTCTTAATTCTTTAGTGCATGTTTCCATTCAGTTAAGATATGTTTGGCTTGTACCTGATAATTATCATCAGACATAGCCCTTGACCTGTTTAGTTGGCGTGAAGTCTAGCTGAGCTGAGATGCAGTCAAAGCCTCGGGCACCTGCGGTAGACTATGGGCTCTAGCGCTGCCCATGAATGAGAAATCTCACTGTTGTCTTACACAGTTGCTGAGCAGATAGAGCCACACTTTGCAACAAGCATAGGACTAAAGAGGATCAAGTTTAGAGCGTGCACTTGGACCAGTATAATACTCAGATTCTTCCTCTTAAAGTAGGAGTTAAGCTGGTATAAAACTGGGATAGCCAATTGCTCTAGAAAAATGACCTTATATCGCAAGTAGGCATGGAAAATTTAACTTGTGGTCATTTACTTCATCCACCGCACCTTTTTCACTTGCCAGAGTTACTGTGTGTGCCTTTTAGGGAAGTAGATTAGATGGTCCAGTTTTTCAGTTACTCATCTAGTTATATGTACATGATTAGAAACATGTTAATACCAAGCAGTGTGATAATACAGAATATGATTTTTATTCACCATTAAATTTCCAGAAACTTCTTGTGCTGTGACTTTTTCTCTTTTTTTAACCATCAGTAGAACCCTTTTAAATCACTCATCTAACATTCGAGGACATGTCTTCATTGTTGTTTGACTTGACGCAGGTTTTAAGTGCATGTATGATGGTTCACGAGGCAACCACAAGTACCCATTCTCAAAAGAGCAGGACTAATTTTTTGAATTGGCTTGTATTCATAGTCTCTACAGCATAATCCAGTATTTTGTATTTCTCACAGATTTTTTTATGCTGCTGTGGTTTCTGTTTTAGAATGGAATGGAACCGAGCTTCTTTCACAGAGACACCTTCCTAACCTTCAGCCCTTTACTCTTCCCACAGTAGCTGTTGTTACATGTTCTTCCTTGGAATGTAATATTTGACTGGGTCTTTAAGAATACCTTTTGTTCTTTCATGATAAGAAAGGCATTCACAAATCACTTTTCCTGATCTTCTCATTGATTACATCCAAGACTTCCATTATAAGGTCATTAATACATATGTAATTAGGGTATTAATTTTTATTTTATTAAAATATCTCAAAAAGCAGCTCAAATCCTTTGAATAAAGTTTGCCTTTAAATTAATGTTTTTCCCCATAAATACTTTTTTGTATAAGTAAATAGAAGGAAATCTCCTAATATTAACCACTGTGAAGGATTCAAACATGAAACTTCCCTCTTTTCTAATAAAGCATCTCAGGAGACTTAAAACCTCACCATATCATTTACTGTATACAGTAAATTCTGTGTTATGATACTTGTATACAAATCCTGATGCATGAAAAGAATCCTAATTCCACTTTGAGAAATGTAGGTCTTCTGTGCTGGTACAGGAGCAGAGTATGTTCACATCAAATAATACTTAGATGCAAAGAACTTTGATCTTTCTTAACATAATGATTTTTTTTTTCAAAGAACCTTGACCTTTCTTAACTTAATGATTTTTTTTTTTTTCATTTTACCTTTTTTGGCTTTAGGTCTTAATGTCTAAATCAGCTCAGATACAAATAAAGATGTCAGCCTAAAAATTAATGACCAATAAATACTGTTTGTTGCTGTTCTATGCGGTTGAGTTGGAACTAACTCATAGTTGACCCTCCAGTAGCTTTTCAAAGGCTTATCAGTTGCATGGGAAGAGGTTGCCTCGCTTTCTACCACTGAGCAGTTGGTGGATTTGAACCACTTACCTTTCAGTTGACAGTGCAGTTCCTTACCTACTACACTACCAGAGCTCCCTACAAACTAGATATTCTAAAATTGTTGTTATTGTTAAGTGCTGTCAAGTCATAGGTGACGCTTAGCAACCCTATGAACAAAAGACCTGAACATTTGTATAACTTCCATCATTTTTCCAAGTTCATAGGGTTTTCGGAGGCAAG